CTGGCAAATCAATCCCTAGGAATTCCAAACCCCGCGGTTCACTAGGCTTGCAGAGTAGAATGTGTATAACGACATACACAACCATACAAATGGTTGAAAGCACGGTGAAATTGCAGAAGTATTTGATAGCCAATTGCCAATCCGACTGCTGTTCATTTTCCAGAGGTGCAATAATCTGATCTTTCTCCAAGGACTCTGCGGAATCCAGTGTTCTAAAATTTTGAGCCAGTAAGTTCTCAAAATGATAAAAACTGTCCTTTAGACCCTGACGAGCACCTCCTTCAATCATACCTCTCATCATAGTGTTCTGGTGGAAATTAACCCTCCAAGAGATTATAAGACGAGTGGACTCTTCTCCTGATCCCTCTTCTGGTCCAGGCATTATCTTGTAAAGCAACTCCACTTTGAATGCATTCCCGTATGGAACCTCAGGAGTACTTACCTCTACAAAGACAGCAAAGTTTTTTCCGTCTGCTTTGAGGTAAGATTGTTGCTCGCTTGCTTTTACAGCCTTGATTAACTTTGTGGCAGCCTTTGTATAGGAAACTGTTCGTGTCAAAAGTGGCGGATCTTCTTTATTCAACGTCCAAGGCTCCTCTTCTAAATCCGTCGTCCCCTCCAAGTTAGCCAGGTGTCTCCTGAACTTAGAGTCTGGTGCAAAGAGAAAAATATTCAAATCATATGGTCGTACAACATAAATCTGATCGAACAGAATGCCTCCTTGAAGATCTTCAGGCAATTCTTTTTGGCCATCCCTCGACTGCATCATCGAAATAGCTTCTTCAAAGCTGTAATCAGACTGTTGTTTTTCCCCACAATCCTCATAATCTGACGGAGAACCAGATACTTCTGATGAGGCACAAGTTTCTGACACATCCTCATGTTTGGCAAAGATTTTCTCCAAACGATTCGCGATAGCCTTCATCCAATGTTTCCCATCATGTATCTTCTGGCCTTGAGATTTGGCTAAATCTGTTTCTTCTTCAGCCTGATTGGAGTTGACATTGGAACTGGGAAAGAGTGGATTGTCGGAAGACGTGTCCTGGAGACTTCCATGCAAAGAAATCGATACGAGTATCTTCCCTGCATTGTGTGGTGCATCAAACTTTACAAGTTTGAATGGACAATGCCACTAAATCTTAAGTGATAAATATACTGAAGGATCATAAATAAATCTCGCATTTATGTTGGAAGCCGGGAGACTAAAACAAAAGGAGCCCAATGGCAGCATTCCACAAAGCGTAGTTTCCAGATTTAACACCAAATAAAGATACTGTCGATGTGTGAAAGGAAATTCTCATCACTGCGTTATATAATGATTTTAGATGCGTGGTAAATTGATGAAATGACTCATACCGTCACATAGATGATCCATATCCAAATGCCTCGCAGTACTAAGTATGACCAACATAGGTCATTTAGACTGTTGGCCACCATGGGATCCGAAAAAACAACCCAACGTGGATCAATCCATGAGGGGACATTTAGCAGTAAAATTTAGGTATCTCCAGAAAGGTTCCCCCAGTTTCACGAGGAGAGGAATAAGTTGCAGAAGATTCGGATACTGTCCGGAGGACACAGACCCAGTTGCTCAACCTTACATACCCTGACCAACGAGGTCATTTACTTCCTAGTTCCGTGATGTCTGAAGAATTTGTCTCCTTGAAGAACCGTCATCACATAAACTAGTTCTCGTCCTGGACGATCAGTCATTTTCCAGTTTAGTAAATTATCTTTCTTAGTCAGGACAACAGTAATATGCAGTAATTTTCCTCTAATCACCACAGACTCATTGCTCTCCTCATCATCCGCATTAGCACAAATTACTTAAAGAACAGCTCTAACAATTTGCCCAAAGATGAATCCGGAGTAACAATATGAAATATTTGCACATCGAGGAGCTGATACTTGATAGACAGATCACAATATATGCAAGCAACACAAATAGTCATGGAGTGCACATTACACTAATTTACTACCCAATTCACGCCACTCTTTCGATCAAGCACGACAGGATAAGAAACAGCAGAATGATTAATTAATTTATAAAATAGTATGACTGATCACACTAACCGCAATCTTTTTGTATGAACTTCCCCGCCTTAGGCTTTCCGACAGAGAACCACGTCGGCGGCAATATCCGGTTGTTCTCGTCGGCGACGGACCAAACCGGAATCTTGACCCGACCCAGCAATTCCCCCGACGAGCCGAAGAGCCCACGACTGTCCTCGTGGTGATAAACGGACAAGATCACTTCCTCCTCGCAATCATGCACCCTGAACACAAACTCTTCGTTCCACCACGGGTTATTGGTGCGCTCCACGATCCTAGTCTTGGACTTAAGCTTCCCGACCTGGACCTTCACGTACGAGTCCTTCACGGGCAACCCCTTCGCCTCCAACACGTACACGTACAACCTCATGGCTGAAGAGCCGAGCTTGGACGAGTCCTAGAGAGAGATCTCAACTGGGTTTGTTATTGGTTTTGGTTATGAAATGTGGGTGTGCGTTCCTGCCCTCGCCGTTGTTGGTGGTGGAAGAGAGAGAAGAAGAGAAGTAGAAATAGAGCCACGGGGGAAGCAAAACGTGGACGCGAGAGATGGAGACACGAAGGAGATGAGAGCGCGAAAACATGGAGAAGTGCAAAAAAGAGAGAGAGGAGGGCGGTTCCATTCTAGCGTTTCGGTGATGTCAAGGAGCCACGACTGCTTCTCCATCGATGACGGTTTTTTCTTATCTCAGAGCATTTATTGTTTCGGGGTGTGCCGGATTCTTGAAACTTTCATCTCCTCTTCTTGAAAAAACGAGCAAAAGAGAGAGTGATTTCTCGTCAGATGAATCGTCTTCTTCTTTGAGAGTCTCTACACCAGCCGATCTTTTCCACGTTTCTTCTACTTTTCTAGGAGATACACGAGACATTAGAATTTGTCAGACAGACGAAACGAGATTTGGTGGTTGCACGCAGCCTTGTTATAGAATGTAGGCTAGAGTGGCTGTGATTTGATCTTTTAGGAGGATTGATGTGGCAGTCCTAAATTGGAGTTAATGTTTTTTACAGTAGAGTAGAGTGGCTCTCTTTGTGTTCTGTTGTGACGGGTGCTTCTGATCATTGACGTCAAGATCATACGCCGTGTTCTTGTGAAAGACACGAATTCCTACGAGGTAGTCGCGCTTTCCCATGGATAAGATGAGGAAGTTGACACAAACATTAGCTTAACGTTCGAAGTCAATGTCGTGTGTTGATTTGTGGTTGTTGAGAAGGTAAAAGAGGGATTGCATTGTGACATGGTACATTTTGATTGGCATGGGACCCAATTAAGCCAGCAGTCGGACCCTATTGTTACCCTTACCAACTCGCCATGAAAAGCTGTACAATGATCGGTCGAGCCCTAACCCATCGAGCCAGGATTAGGGCTCAACCATTCGCGTTGGCCCCCCATTTCATGTAAAGCCTGTTCACCGAAGTTATATAGCGATTCCTTGAGTATGGGCTAGGGCTCAATTATCTGCATCGGGCATTTTCCATGTAAAGCCTTTTCGTCCCCGCACTTGGCCAAGGTTGTTATTACGCCCATGCTCTAGTCTATAGACACCATCTACCAACGAGCTTGCGTAACTATCGTATTTTGTCGAATGCTTCCTAACTATGATTATGGGGAAAAAAAGGTGTATAAAACTTTGTTTACCTCTTATATCATACATTTTCTTTTCGAAATAAAATCAGATAAGGATATGGAATGTTGAGTGCTAGGCTAGCGGAGCTTTTGACAAAAAGAAATATTGCTAGTTATATAGCATGATAGATAGGAGTACTTAACTAACTCGAAAGCTTCTTCTTTTTATTTTGGTCCGAAACTTGAAAGCTTAAAAAAGGGTATTATAAGTGATCACGAGAAAAACTCCGCAGTTCGATGAGCCTGCGGGCTCCACATCATTCGGGCATTTTGGACCAATGCATTCCGACTCGATGTGGTGGCTTAAGATCGGCCTAGTAAAAATTTTTTAAGGGTGCATTTATTTCTCGAAAAATGAATGGTTTGAAAAATGTTTTCTTAAAAATAATTGCTCTTGTATCATTTGAAATAATTAATCGATGAAAAATATTTTCATTATCGACAACAATTTTTATGTCTAAATATTTTTGTAAACGACAAAAATATTTTTTTATTTATTCATTTTTTAAGCGATACATGCGATTATTTGTAGGAGCGAAAAAAACAGAACCTAGCTATGAGCAGGTATACATGATATGTTTCAATTTTGCCCAAAAGAAAGAAACTTTAATCAAGGGTATTTGGGCATGATAGTGGCCCGCCCAAGCCCACCTGCCTGGCTAAAGTCACTCGTTGATGGGAGCTTGAGGTCATGTTTTTTGTGTCACTCGTTGGCATTCACAATTAGCATAAAGAAAATTTGTATTCACCGGGTGAAACATAGTGACAACCTTGGTTGAATTCATTTATCTTTGGAGGCCGCAAAAAATAGCATCGTGGGTTGCTTTCAATCTCTTTGTTTGGTCAATGGAAATGGCGGAAAAATGGCGGCCCAACGCCGCCGGAAATTCCGCTTTGACCGTTGCCATAGGAGTTCCACATAAGTTTGTTTTTGTTTTGATTTATAATCTAATCAGCATCGGATTTATGCATAGATTCTCATTCGTTCGCTCGAGATACCTTTAGTGACAAGTACTTCGCCAAAAATCAAGAAAGCTCCAGTCACGTGGGAGCAGAAGTCCAGATTGTAGGATAAGGCACGAGAAATATCAATTTACCAAAAGCTTATAATGCGCAGAGAATCATTCGCAGAGGTTCCGAGCGTTTTTGTACGCGAAATACACTTGGGAATATCGTGACTATGCGCACAATTGGATCGGTAAATGTCTCGGATGCCATTACCATCGAAAATACAAAGACGAAGGAAAGCACCATTATCTCGAACTCGATGTCCTAATAAAACAATTTATTTGGCCACGTGCTTAGAATAGGCAAATCAAACCATACGCAGAGCAATGGATAGAGCTAGTTATCACTTTCTACGATGATGTATTCGATCCATACGAGTATAATAACCGTATCCGTATCGGTGCGAGGTATGCCTAGTCACTTTGAGAACCGATTCCCCACTCCAAAAAACCAGAAAACCCACGTCTTGCAAAGCGCGAAGGAAAACCATCGAGGAGGGGAGCACTTACACGTGTCCCATCCACAGCCCACGAGCCTCCACAGCTTCGAAACACGTACCGAGCTTTTGCTTTCGCGCGGATCGAGCATCGGTGATTCGGCGTGCCATCATGGCACGAACAGGAGCGAGGAACGAGCGACGAGAGGTGGATCGACAAGACGCAGATGCTGCTTCAGACAAGATACGGTCCTTCGGAATTTTGTAAGAACAAAGATGAAGTGAAAAGCGACGAGGATGGGGGCAGGGGAAGGGGCATCTTCCCCACCCCCCCTCGCGAATCAGAATCAAAACTATAGTATAGCCTCCATCGTCATCATCCTCTTCTGTCCCTATTCTGTAAGATTCTAATTTCCTACCGCTGCTGAACCGTGACTTCCTCGATTTCCATGGGCCCTACTTACTGCTACGAGGTACGAGGCCCTGCTTCACTATCGGCAGTAATTGCGGCGGCAGTGAGCAGCGGCGCACGCAACTCCAGGCAGTCCGACACCGTAGAAGCCGCGATAGCGACCGATCACCACCGGAGATCCGCCGCGGCACCCGGCGCCGGCGGCGACTCTCGGCGAGAAGCTCCAATCGCAGATCCCGTGCCTTAGCGACTCGCGAGGAGAAGAGCTGGAGCTCGACGCGGCGGACGGCGACGGCGACAGCGATGGAGGCGGGGAGGCTTGCTTGCGCGGTCCCCGCTCGAAGAGGACGGCTCTGATCTTGAGCGGCGCGCCAGGAGGAGGAGGAGGACAAGAAGAAGATCTCGATCTCAGCGAAGCCTCGTCGTATTCCTCGATCAGGTTGGCCAAATCCTCGTCGGACTTGATGGAGACCAGCGTCTCCAAGTCGCCGCCGGGCAGCTCGCACTTCAGCGCGACGGCGACGCCGCAGAACTCCGCGAGCTTCACCGTCAGCTCTGCAACCAACCACAGATATACTCTCGCGTCTCACTAACCAAGCATCGACCGAAAAAACCAAGACTCGAAACAGAAACGGAGGTGGAGGAAGAGGGCAAACGCACCGGCGTAAGAGACGGAGCGATCGACGGCGAGGATTCTGGTGAGTCCACCGACGTAGCGGAGGCGGCCGTCGGGCCTGCGGGGGAGGATGATCCCGCCGTAGCTGCAGAGGAGCTTCAACGCGGCGACGGCGGTCGAGCTCCGGTGCGATCCGGTCTCCTGGTTCACCATCTTCGGTCTCGCTCTCTGTTTTCCTTCTCTGCTGCGAAGTATGTGCGAGTGGCGTTGTGAGAGAGAAAGAGAGAAGGCGGTTATTTATAACGAGGGAAGAAGATTTGGCGGGGTGGGACCCTTCGAGGATCGTCGGGCGATTTTTGGAAGTTTCTGTTTTTAGGCGAGCATATTTTTCTTTACGGAATTCTCTTTATAGATTTCTAAAAATTACACTCCCTCTATGTCGAGTGTATCTAACTATCTATAGATGTTGATTCGCTCATAAAAGATTTTACTAATTTAGCCATACAAACCTTTACACGAAGTTTTAGTAGCCAATGTGGCCCGACAAATTTCCAGTAAAAATTAATTGGAATGATTATATTGGAATTTTGCATAATCATTCGGGACTAAATTGGTTAAAAGTATCGAATTAGCATTCATACGATAAGCTTAAGACTAATCGAGTAATTTTTCCTTATAATTTTGATTCGCCACTTGACGTAAAGATCACTTATGTCTTAGTTGATCAAAAGGGATCTTGGGTAACGTTTCCTGTGATAGATTTTAGAGTTAATACCACGAAAAATCATAAACTGGTATACCTGTGATAAATTTACATTCCGTTAGTTTTCGTTAAATTTTACCATTAAATTTCTAAGTTTGATAATACATAGCAGTTGAAGATTATACCGGATTACGATTTTACTCCTCTGTTTGTCACATATTTGCTAGTTTATGATTTTTCGTCATATAAATCCAATTTAACGGATGGTACATTTGTCGTAAATGTACCAGTTTGTGATTTTTCAAGGTAAATGTACCAGTTTGTGATTTTTTAAGACTAATCGGGTAATTTTTCCTTATAATTTCGATTCGCCACTTGACGTAAAGATCACTTATGTCTTAGCCGATCGAAAGGGATCTTGGGTAATGTTTCTTATGATAGATTTTAGGGTTAATACCACGAAAAACTCCAAACTGATACATCTATGACAAATTTATCCCAAACTAATTTTTTTATCACAAAAAACCCAAAACCGGTACACCTGTGACAAAATTGCATTCCGTTATATTTCGTTAAATTTTACCACTAAATTTCTGAGTTTGATGACACGTAGCAGTTGAAGAGTATACCAGTTTAGGGTTTTATCCATTTATTTGTCACATATTTACTAGTCTGTGATTTTTCGTCATATAAATCAAATTTAACGGATGGTATATTTGTCATAAATGTACCAGTTTGGGGTTTTTTTTGGTAAAAAAAATTAGTTTTTGGTAAATTTATCATAGGTGTACCAATTTGAGGTTTTTTGTAGTCAAAAAATTAGTTTATAGTAAATTTTTCATAGGTGAAGCAGTTTGGGGTTTTTCAAAGTATTAACCCTAGATTTTACGTTATATATTACCACATATCTTTACAAATTATAGACGAGAGGTATTGTGATTGTGAGGTTTTTTTCAATGTTAGATAGAGCTCGGACATATACCTCAATCATCATCAGCATCACACACACACACATACACATATATGTATACACTAGCTTTCATGCTTTGATCTACGTGGAGATTAGGGTGTGCAAAGGAATTAGAAACCGCCTGGATCACCCGAAATCGGACCAGACCGGCCCGGAACTGGCAATTTCTGTGGGGATCAGTCCAGTTCCCGGTTCCAATTTACTAGAACCGGTGCATAATGGTCCGGTTCTCCATTCTAGGTATGGAACCGCCCACCCGCCACCCGAACCGAATTGGTAATATATATAATTTTTAGAAAAAATTTACAACAAAAAAAAAAGAAAAATATCCATCAACTAAGTGCTCGTCTTGTTTCATTCTCACCTTGTCTAAGTCGTCTATCTATCTCTCACCCATGATCTCGACTCTTAAGCTCAATGCCCATCAAATCACGGTCTCGACTCTCAATTTCCATCAACTCATTGCCATGCTTCTGGCCGTTCATTACCTCTCTCTTTCACTCTTGGTCACCTCCATTTGCGCGAAACTTGGTGGGACCGGTGGTCCGGTTCCCAGGTGGATCCATGGAACCAACAAGTAATTTCCGGTTCCAATTTTTCTGAACCAATCCTTAGTAGGCGGTCTCCGATTTCATGGTGGAAACCGCTCACCCCGTACCATGCTTACCCCTAGTGGAGATTACCATCAATGTAACTATCTTGATCTCCTTCTTTTATAAGTTACAAGCCACTGAGTTCTACTACTAATTCTAGCTTTTTCCAAAACAAAAAAGAAGAAAATGAAAGATTTAAAAAAATATTTTATTAAAAACAATTGTTTGAAGACTCTATTTGTTTTGTGGAAAATTAATCATTGAGAAAATATTTTTAAAAAAATAATCGAATGTATTGTTTACACAAATGGATGAATGAAGAATATTTTCATTGCGCCCGAAAATGTTGAGTCGTATATTATTGTCGATAATAAAAATATTTTTCATTGATTAATTATTTTAAATAATATAAGTAGATTAATTTTAAAAAAAAATTCATGAAACAAACCAAGCGTAATATTTACTCTAATCTCTCTCTCCTTCCTCACATCACTCTTATTTTCTGACTCGTCGCCACTCTTAATTGTCTTTATGTTAGGATTACTCAAATTCTGCTTGATTTTCCAATTTGAAATTTCAAGGTTTTTTATTTTATTTGATATCTGAAAATGAAGGAATATAAGGACAAAAGAGGGACGGCGAAAGCGAAATGTCCGAATTTACTCGGGCTAGTAGATAAAGTTGGCACGGCTCTTGGCCCGATGTGAAATTGGCAAATTTTATGCACACACATGTCTAGTGATGGTTGCGTCGCCGTTTGCCATTACCCAACCCACCCTAAATCTTTCGATTTGCCGGAAGACAAGTGCCCCGACCCAACACGACTTCTTAGCCCGTGTCGCGATTCTTGAAAATGAAAGGACCGGAAGAAAAAAGTACAATTTTTTAATTAGCTCGCGCCGCATCGACTTGATAAATATACGATAAGTTATATTAACTCAGTGATCATTAATTTATATTCGTGTGTAGTCGAAAAGTTTTATAATTCATGGTTTCGTTCTCGGTGACCTCAAAGTGTTAATAAGAAGGAATAATGGCATAAATGGTTATTGAACTTTGATCGTATATGCAATATCATCCCTAACTTTTAATTGTTCGATGTGGTCTCTAAACTTTTGATAACATTGAATATTTTTTATAGTTCATTGACTAAATTGAATATAAACAAAAAATTTAGAGACCATATTAAATGAATTTAAAGTTCAGAGATGACATTATACATCAAATTAAAGTTCAGTGATCACCTAACACATCATTTATGCCATTTTCTCGAATAAGAAAGTTAACAAAATTTGACCCCAAAAAAGGGAAAAAGCTTGTAGAAAAAACTTTAGCGTTGCCTTGTCCGAGGTGGTCGCTTCTGGTGGCGGGAGAGAGCGTGGAGGTGGACACGTGGAAGAGGGTGAATGAGCAAGCGACACGTGGAGCACTGTCCGCGGGACACCGCCGTTGCATCGGTTTCAGTTGAGGAGAATCTTTTGAATTTTCAGTTTGCGAAGGTTTTTTGTTTTTTGTTTTTTGGGGTAAAAGACAAGGAAGGAAGAGGAATCGGCTGACGTCAGCCACTCGGGCATTGTCCTCGGAAAACGACGAGGATTTTCGTTTCTTGTAGTCTTTTTCCCCGAGAGACGGGCAGCAACCCATGGAAATCACTTTATTCGAGGAGAAATTACAAAAACGGAGGGATAAAAAAGTTTTTCATTTTAAATAATCAGAAGCAAAAATAAACGAAAAAAAGAGAGTCGATACGAGCCATAACAGTAAGTGTTTATTTTGAGCGAGCCCAAGTGGCTTGAAGAATATTATAAATCGCTTGAACTGCGTTTAGTAATCCGAATTTGAGTCAAAATAGAATAATAAACTATCTTATTCGACATTTGGAAATGTTCTCTGGACTGAATACACGCCTAGGTAAAATGACAGATAAGAAATCTGTAAGGGGATGGGATAAACCTGGATTTGATAAAATAAAGTTGAAAAAAATAACTTGAACACAAGTTGTTGCTTGTTTGAATTCATGATTTGTTAATAAGCTTGCACAAATTGGAGCAACCTCGAGGTTACAATTCCCACGCATTGCGTAAGGGTAGCAAATTCCCTGGATTTGTCAGAATTTGACGTGCAAAACCAAGGTGCCAAACTCGATATAATCATCTTGCAAGACTTCCTAATTTCGCTCTCCCGTTTACAGCGACGTCGACCTTTAATGCGAGAATCCTGGCGTAGGATGCCAAACCTCTTGAGGGACAATGTGAAGATGGTGATGGAAAGAGACTGAAGAAGGTGGTTGCCCTGAAATTATCTCGCCTCCTCTCTCTCTGTCACGACCTCAAATCTATGGATCCGCATCGTTGTGTCAAGGCAACGCTAGCAGTAGCCATCTTTGATTGTGACCACCGATGCAGTGGCAATGGCTGCAATCGTAACATCTATGGTTTTTCAAATTTCAAAGAAGTAAGTGAGATAAAGAGAGAAATTGCTGGAGTGAGAAAGAGAGAGATGTAACGAACCTTGGCCAGTGAAGTGCAGCAGCTGTGAACTTGCAATGTGTATCTCTTAGGAATCAACAATGGAGGAGATGCGTCTGTTGGGGAGGAAGAAGAGGAGGAGGAGGAGATAATGATGAGAGAGATCGACGTGAAAGTTCAGAACTACCGCTATGGTGATTTGAATCTCAAACTCATCGTCCGGCCAACTGGCCACAACCCAGTTTCAATCCCAGACGAGAAGCCAACATGCTAGATAAGTTGTAATTGGGTCTAGTCTGATATGATAAAGTTGGCTTTGATAAAGATTACGATAAAGACTTGCACCCGTAAAAGTTACATTATTGTAGTGTGATGCCATCTTGTAAATGCCCATGTAATTGTATTATTAGGTCTCATAGAGTCTGGATCAAAATCAAATTCTCTTATAAACAGCATTTCCAATAATTCAAGGAATGGAACCGTCCTAGGAATTTTGCACAATGTTTCGGATCATGTTGATATCCTCCATTGATGAAATCATCGTCAAGGAACTCGAATTTCTTCAATGAAAATTTCCTTAATTGTAGGATGGCAATGGATTAACCGCCCATCACCCCAAGTGATGTATCTTTTTTCTTTCCTTCTCAATTCTGAATTGCAATTTGATGTAAATCTAGTGAATTAGAACGCCAATCATTTTTCGACCAAAAAAAAAGAATGCCTATCATTTATGTTACAATTTATCGACAATAAGGGAACTAGTGTACTAGCAACTCAGTTTCTCTCAAGCAACTTGTTGCCGTAAGCCCTCAAACCCATACAAACTCCATCACAAGCTTCAATGGAACGGTTCCATTGAATCACTTGAGAACCGAATCGGGACCGTTCCCCCGTTCCGAAAATTGAGAATCGGTTCTTGGTTTTGTGGTGGGATAGGACCAGACTGGGAACCGACCACTCTTAGTGTGGTGATCCGAGGAGCAAGCAATAATATCTCCAACGGTAGGAGAACTCATCAACATGACGCCAGAATTAAGTATCTCCATAAGTTCTCTAGCCCCCACGGCAAAGAAAGCTGATCGGCACGTTGGTGACGTCATATTTAAAAATAAAAAATATCTTCGTCTTTCCCTAAAAACGAAGGGCCCCGCTCCTTCTCCTTTTCCCCCCTTCAAACGAAAACCCTAGCTCTCGCATTTCGGCATCGAATCGACGGAGCTAGAGAGAGAGAGAGAGAGAAGCAGCAGCAGAAGGCGATCGAGCTTTGCCCCCAAATCGTCGCCGCCCATCACCGCCGTCAGCGTTGCACCGCCGACCGCGAGGATGAACCCGGGCGACCCGAGATACTCGGACCCTACCTCTTTCCGTCACCGCAGGAGGTATGCTTCCGATGCTGCGATGAAACCCTAATCATCGGTACGTTCGCGTTGTTTCGTGGATGACACCGTGTTTTGTTCGTTTCCGATTGCAGCGATTTCGCGCCGCCGAGGGCACCGGTGGTCAACGCAGCCCCGAGCTATGGCGGCGGCGGCCAGGGTCCGTATGAAGGTCCGCCGCCGCCGGGCATGGGAGGCCCCGTGTACCCGCCTTTTCAGTCTCCGTCCGGAGGGTTCGAGATCGGCCGTGGCGGAGGGATGGGTAACGGGCACATGGGTGGCCAGAGAGGTCGATCGGCCCATGGAGGAGGAGGTGGCCGAGGCGGAGGCCATGGAGGCCATGGTGGGAACAGGAGTTTCGGTGCTGGCCGCGGCGGTGGGAGAGGTGGAAGGCAGGGCGGCTGGTCGTCGCAGAGGGAATTTGACAGGTTTGATTTTCCGAAACCGAATTTTGACCAACTGGTGCCGTTTGAGAAGAATTTGTATGTGGAGAGTCCTTTCGTGGCTGCAATGTCTGAGCATGAAGTCATGACGTACCGTGCAAGAAGGGATATCACTGTCCAGGGGGACGATGTTCCCAAGCCTATTCGGACGTTCGAAGAGGCTAGTTTTCCTGGTATTGTTATTTTAGTCTGTTAGTGGTTTTTTTTAGATCGTATTGTCGTCTGCCAGTGGTTGAGGTTAATGTTGCTCGATTCGTCCTTATTTTTTGTGATAGGCTACTGCCTCAATGTGATTGCGAATTTGGGGTTTGTCGAGCCAACGCCTATCCAATCTCAGGGATGGCCAATGGCTTTAAAGGGTAGAGATTTAATCGGTATCGCTGAGACAGGGTCTGGCAAGACTCTGGCTTATCTGCTACCAGCTTTGGTGCATGTCAGTGCACAGCCACCCTTAGGTTAGGATCGGTAACCTTTCTCCTGTTGGGTTTATTAGGTTGCGTTGTTTTCGCTCTCACTGAATATTGTTGTTGCATTTACTTTAGCTAGAGGGGACGGTCCTGTTGTGCTGGTGCTTGCACCTACTAGAGAATTGGCAGTGCAGATTCAACAGGAAGCTTCGAAATTTGGCTCAATTGGACCAAAAGCAAAGATCAGTATCAGGAGTACATGCATTTATGGTGGCGCCCCCAAGGGACCACAAATCCATGATCTTAACAAGGGTACAGGACTTGTCCTCTGCAGTATTCATATTACTCTATGCTCCAGATCTTATGCTGGGGAAGCTGGTGGTTTAATTGTCTGTGCGTTCTAGGTGTTGAGATCGTCATTGCTACACCTGGTCGTCTCTTAGATATGTTGGAAGCATATAAGACGAACCTACGGAGAGTGACTTATCTTGTGTTGGATGAAGCGGATCGAATGCTAGACATGGGATTTGAACCTCAGATAAGGAAAATTATAACTCAAGTAAGTCTTCTGTACGATTTCTTTTTCTCCGTCTCTCTGCCTCTGTTATCTGGTTTTTTCTTTTATTTATTTACTTATTGGTTTGTTTTATTTTTGGGGTTGGGGTTGGGGGGGGGGGTGTTTGCTCGAATTTGAGACAGTAGATGACATGCACATGCTTAGTTGTTCCTGTGAATTTTTGTCATTATTTCGAGTGAGAAATTTTGGAAATTTTGCAGATACGACCTGATCGACAGACGCTATTGTGGAGTGCAACGTGGCCAAGAGAGGTTGAAGCTCTGGCGAGACAGTTCTTGAGTAATCCATATAAGGTTTGAGGTGTTATCTATTATCGGGTAACATTTTGATAGAAATGAGTGTTCATTGATTTTATTACCTTCTTGATATTGTCTTCTCTAGGTTATCATCGGATCCCCTGATCTGAAAGCAAACCAATCTATAAGTCAAGTTGTTGAAGTAATAAAAGAGAGTGAAAAGTACAGCAGGTTTGTCTTTGGTGGCTATTTCTGCTATATGACAGTTGGATCTCTTTCAATTACCTGAGTATCTGTTGCTTCTGCAGGCTGATCAAACTACTGAAAGCATTGATGGATGGGAGTCGAATTCTGATATTTGTAGAAACAAAAAAGGGATGTGATCATGTCACAAAACAGCTGAGGATGGATGGATGGCCAGCTCTTTCTATACATGGGGACAAAAACCAGTCTGAGAGGGAATGGGTCTTGGCCGAATTTAAGAGTGGCAGAAGTCTCATAATGACTGCCACTGATGTTGCTGCAAGGGGTCTTGGTAGGATCACTGTGTGTTAGGTTCATAGGTCTCTTCATATAGGCTTGAAAATTTCAAGGTAGGCGAGTTGGCCGGCTGCTTTCCAGTTTCCTTAGATTACAAGAACCTGATGCTTTTTGCCGTCGAAGCAAAGTGGGATGGGAAGCATGGTTCTCTCATCTGGCATTCACTAGTGTATTACACATAGAATGTCCACTAAGTTATTGAGTGATGCTTGTAGCTGATTTTCCAAGAGTATAGGGATCATCATGGTTTATATTCCTAATATGCTGGTAAAGTGCATGTTGCTTTACCATATGTATAGGGGGTGTAGAGGCAGAAACTTGGGTTGTGCAAATTTGTCAACTGCTAGAGTTGCCTGAAATTGCATGGCTCCTGTCTTTTTCAAGTTGATTAATTTGAATAATAGTTGCCCCGTTCACAGTTAGGAAGCTGGTTTTTGTGGCAGCCCGGTTGACTCGCTCATGCTTATTTTGGGGTTGGAAATGGATTGGTGATGGTGGAGATGCTCCTTATCCCTGCCAGGTTAAGGTGGGCACATTTAAGTGATGCATATATGTCATCATAAGTTTGATCTCTGAGTTGTAGGTGTGCAGGGATAAGGGGTGCTTGCCTTTTTTCTTCCATTTTCCCCTTTTGAAGCTATAAGATAGATTCTTTTCTGACTGTTTTGTACTTAATTATGCAGATGTCAAGGATATAAAATGTGTGATAAACTATGATTTCCCAATGACACTTGAGGATTATGTGCATAGAATTGGCCGAACTGGTCGAGCTGGAGCGAAGGGCACTGCCTTTACCTTCTTCACTGATTCTAATTCGAGGTTTGCAGGGGAACTTATTAAAATCTTGCAAGATGCGGGGCAAGTTGTCCCTCCAGCTTTATCTGACTTGGCTCGTTCAGTCTCCTTTTATGGTCTCTCTCTCTCTCTCTCTCTCTCTCTCTCTCTCTCTCTCTCTCTCTCTCTCTCTCTCTCTCTCTCGTTTTTTGTTAGGTTGTGACTGGTCGTTCCTTTATGACGTTATAGGTTCAGGCAACAGCGTACGCTCAAGAGGACATCGAGGGTTTGGAAACAGGGGCCGTATCTCTGGATCTAATACAATTCCTCTTGGTGGTGGAAGGAGGCCTTGGTAATTTAGGTGATGTCCTGGTTGGTGTTTGTTGGCCACACACCTCATCTCTCTGATAGCCAATACGTGTGATTTCTTGTCTCTCTAGCCACCTGATGACCATGTTTGTTTTCATGAAGGCGTTAGAATTAGTGGTGCTTGAACCGTCTGGATCCTACTCTATTATTTTAGGAGATTATAGTTACTGAATTTCTTTCATGTTTCTGTGTATCATACTTTCTAAATCGTGACAATGTAGTAGCAGCAGTTCTTTCATGTGTTTGTACACACCAAATTGACCTTGATGTGGCTCGTCACATGGTCCCTGACCAGAGTCTCTTTTTTGGCCTGGAACATAGACCACCTTGTGATCAACCTCAGATTTGTTGTCATTTCGATACCTTGGAAAATTTGAGGTGCATTACCCTTCTTCCCTTGTGGAAATGCAAGATGATCTTTTGGCTGCCGTATAGTTTTCTCAAATGCACCTCAAATCAAACAATAGTCCTCGGGTCGCATTTACCGTTCAGATGTGATAGAATTAAGGGTTGGCGTTTGTAATAGAACAGGGGGTGGATAGATTTGCTTCATTCTATGTCTGTAATAGCAACAGACGAATGATTATAAAACACAAAGACTGTCCAACACATTTTGATCTCTTTTTTTGTCTTTTCCTTGGCCGATGCACTGTTAAGACTGTTGCGGCTATGGAGGTCGGAGAATTGTTTTGATCTCTTGCTTGATTTTTGTGGCCGGAGAAGAAGTTTGTGCGATGGACTTATAACTGAGTTAGCTTGTAACAAAACATGCGGCAAGGGGCAAAGTGATGTTCTCTAGGTTTTAGCTAAGATGGGGAATTCGCACACGAAGCGATCGTAATGAAACGTGGCGGTAATAGCCATACAAATAAGGGGCAAAAACACTCCCAAGAATCGCCAGCGATGAGATGAATAAACCAGCCCGGCAAGAAGTTCAATTCTTCCATAACGAAAGGGGGCTGGGATGCACGCGAGCCGAGCGACGTAGATGCACAAGTGTGCTTCGGGCTACAGCACACCGACCACATCCGCCGACTTATGACAGGGCCACGGTGATTGCGATCACCTGTCGTGACAGAAGTGGACGTGGGCTATTTGATAGCTGCATGGCGATGGAGTGGCAAATCAACCCCGGCTTCTTTTTTTATTTCAATCGACCGGATGTTCCAACTCGATAAGAGTAATTCTCTACTGAGATTTATTCGATCTTCTAAATTAACAAAACAGGATTTACCGGTTTATAGTGTGCATTTTGTTCAGGGGCATGTTTGAACCGGTTTAAAGCCCTTTCAATTAGTCACATTTTGAATTCCTTGTCAAATATAAAGTACAGGGGAAACTACATTTTTGGTCCCTGAAGTATTAGGGGGTTTTGCTTTTAATCCACGTACTTTGTTTCTATACAATTTCAGTCCTCATAATGTTCTACAATGACAATATAAGTCCCGTCAAAATTTCAGTTAAAATTTGCAAGAAGTTATTGAGTGAAGATTGTTATTTATATTTTTTTTGATCCGTTCTACTCTAACTCTTCTCTCTCTCTAAGACTTTTACTCCACCTCTTTGTAGACTTAAGAATTGAACTTTATACCTGAAACTAAACGTTTCCACCTCACCCAATTCCCTTACCACTAGGCCGCGCGTGCCCAGTGGGTGATCATTACTGACATGTGGTGTCTTTGTGTACAAGGGGAGAATTACCAAAAATTCTGTTCTAAACCTTTTTGTTTAGCCATTTTGAGTCATAAACTTTTTGCGTTTGTATCAATTCAGTCAATCTAGCTAATTTTAGCTGGAAATTACTAACATAGATGCCACCTGTCCTACATGGCACGGCCGGCGTGACATAGGACGAATTTTAATATTTTTTTGATTTATTTTATTTTATTTTCTTTCTCTTTGTTTTTTATTCTTCCTTCTTCCTCTAGCCGATTATGCTGGCCCTCACCTCTACTCGACGACCGGCCAGAGGAAGAAGGAAGAAAAAAAAAGTTAGAGAAAGAACAAAAAAAAGGAAAAGAAAATTAAAAAATTCAGAAAAATATTAAAATATTATTAAAATTTGTTAACATCGACGCAGGTCGCGCCACGTAGGATAGTCACGCCACGTAGGACAATCAGTGTCTATGTCAGCGATTTCTGGCCAAAATTGGCGGATGGATTAAATTGGCATAAATGCAAAAACTTTATGATTAAATTGGTAAAGAAAAAATGTTTATAACTAAATTAGTACAATTGCAATAGGTTTATGACTTTTTTGATAATTTTCTTTATGTACAAGTGTCTCAAACATATTGTACTTTTGGTCTTTATACTTTTAAGAAGGTTTGGTTTTAGTTCATGCGCTTTGCTATAGCAACAAAACCAATCTCTATGTTATTTTCAACAAAAAGCTAATTACTTTTGTCACGTTTTCATCTAAAATCTTATGAGGATGTCATTTTAAGACCAACTATTGATTGGCAATTCTTATGTTTACTAGTGTGCTTAATCTGATTGACACTCTCATTAAGATTAATTCCACTGTGTTCAATAATGACATCATCATTTTTAGTTTATATCCATATATATAGACGTTTATAGCACTACTTTTATACATATGTATTTATTTTTTATAATACTAACTTCAACTTTATATCCTATCCATTATGAGAAATATTTTTGGACCGTTCGTGAGAAATCTTCCAATTCAATCCCAATCCTCCAAAACTAAATGGCATTTACATAAGTTTCTTCAGTGGTTACTAATAAAACCCATCAATTATTTACTATAAAGACTTACATATGATATGCATTATCTATTTTGAATGGATTTTTGATAGTATTTGAAATTGAGAATGCGAAAAATCTTACTCGAAGTCTCATCAATGAATTATATGAGGACTGCTACTGTTGCCAAAACAGTACAAAAAATAAAAAATGTCATTTTCTTTAGCGGTTTGTAAGTGTCGGCGCCACGTGTCAATTGTTGTTGCTGACTTGGCAATTTCTAACATATTTTGAATGGAAATTTGATAGAAGAGTTGATCAACAACAGAGATTTGCGGGAGCTTTTTCAAAATTACAATCACAAAATCAAGTTCCGTATTTGGCACACGGTATATTAGACTTGTCCAGCTATTTAGAGAGATATCAGCCTCCATCTAAACTTGACTATGAAAAATTCGGTTGATGTCCATATTGATAAATCATCAATTAAAGGGCCGAAATTCGGTTGATTTCCATATAGATAAATCATCAATTAAAAGGCCGATCGAAGGAGAGCACTTCCCTTCTTAATGCTGTCTATACGTAATGCTGCGATATTTCTCCAGCCGGCCATCTTAATTTGAGCCAAACTAATTGGAGAGATTGAAACCGACAAGTCAAAGTATAAAAAGTAAGTGGAAATAACAATTGCTGTCTATACCGTTGGCTTGGTGTCTTTCGAATTACGCCATAGGTCTCTAAGCATGCACCCTCCATTTGAATAACTGATCATTGATCTCTTTTTTTATTCCGCGGGAGAAAATTTCCAATGCGGAGGGCCGGGACTACCCAATATTTTCTTTGCCCAACAAGCCTCAAAGGAATTGACATGAGGCCCTCTCCTTCGTTTCTAGACATGTAATTGTTCGTGCTGCTTGCTACATTTCAAAAAAAAAATTGCAAATTGGCTCAAGAAAAATTTTAATCAAGTGGAATATGGGGTCCCATAATTAAACTATTTATCATTACAATAAGGGCGCGCATGGTAACATTTCTATTTCTCTGTTTTTCTATTTTTCTGTTCCCGGGAACAGGTTTGGAACAGAAATCCGTTTGGTAACGCAATTTCATTTTTCTATTTCTGGAACAAATTTCTATTCCAGAAATAGGTTTGGAACAGAAATCAGAAGTAAAAAAAAAATTACTTTTCTATTTCTGGAATAGAAATGAGAAATAAAAACTCTTCTTATCGCTTGCCCTCGCTACTAGCCGGTTACCCCTTTGCCACTCGCTATTGCCGCCGGCCGCCTCCCGCCACCGCCAGCCGCCTCCCGCCACCGGTCGCCTTCCGTTTGATAGAGAGAAATTTTATGTCGTTATCAAACGAATTTCTATTTCGGAAATAGAAATTTTGTGTCGTTATCAAACACACATTTTTGCTCAGAAACTCGTTCACAGAATAGAAATAGAAAAATCTATTTATGGCCAGAAATTGATTTCTGGAATAGAAATGTTACTATGCGCGCCCTAAGTGGTCTAACCTAAAAAAAATTGCAAAACCAATAGTACTAGCAAAATTTGGGCCAAAAGCTAAAGAAAATAAGTGAAAATATATTAAACGAAGCAACATAATCCGTAGAAGCAACGAGTCAGCACGCGAAAAGGAAAGGCCCACTTGGAGGAGTGAAGAACGGGATGATCATTCACCGGATGATGCCTCGAACGCGACGACTAAAGCACTTTGCCAAGTCCAGGTCAATGAACAAGTTCATTTATCTAAGTACTCAAAACAAGATGCCCAACTTCACCGGTCCAGCCTCTTCACGCAACGACTCAATCCAGTGATGTTCTGTCGATTCGTCTATTTTTTTCTCCCCTCTTGATCAATGTGCATCTTGAAGTATAAATTGCGAAAAGCTCGGCTCCGCGTGGTCATCTTCTTGGCCAATCTGATCTTCATATCCACAGAGAGACTCGGCTGGAGAGTTAATGAAGGAGTGACAATAAAACGTGATCTAGCGTTTGTGGGTTCTCCTACGGTGTTGGTTGTGCCCATTCTTCTCTTTGTGCTCGCGTACAATTTTGTCAAGAACAGGAAAAAAATGACCCGTAGAAAAGCAGATGAAACCGGCGCGTCTCCTTCGTTTGCCACCTCGACAGGAAGTAACAGCTACGATGTGTTCTTGAGCTTCAGTGGCAAGGATACTCGCAAAAACTTCGTGGATCACCTCCACAACAGCATCTTCGATGCTGGAATCCACGTGTTCAGAGACAACGATGAGCTTCGGGAAGGTGAGAACATCAGCACCTGTCTTCTCCAGGCCATTAAGAACAGTAAGATCTCGATCGCAATTCTCTCTCGGAGCTACGCTTCAAGCAAATGGTGCCTTCAAGAGCTCGTTCAAATGACCGAGTGTAGGAAGAGCACCGGGCATGTTGTCTTGCCCATATTTTACCAGGTTAAACCGGCCAATGTGCGACACCAAAAAAGGGAGCTTTGGAGAGGCTTTCTCCCATTTAAGTGGGAAGTATTCTGAGGAAGCTTTTGCG